AAGAAGGGATTTCAGCATGACTATCCCCTCTGAGGGTGATTTCTCACTTTCTATCTCTCTGGCAAGTGCATGTATGCTATAGCAAAAATCTCTCTTAAGAAAAAAGAAAAGAAAGCTGACTGGAACATCTGCAGCTGCCTACATGCTCTGTGTAGGTGAATTCTTTTGTCCACTCACTATACTCTTTGGACTAGCTTTTGAGGATCTGAAAAACTGAGCCACTTGGCAGGATAAGGAAAATTGGAAAAGGAGAATGATGAGGATGAGAAAGAGAAATGATTCAGGGTTCAGTGTCCTTGAATAGGCAGGATCTTGACATCTTGTAAAGATCTGGATTCAACGAGGAAAACATTTCTACTCAAGGGGAAAAGATTAGGTCAGTGGATGTTCACTCACATTTTTTAATATTCAGTTTAGGGTGAGGCGAAGCGGAAGCTTTTTTTCAAATCTAAGTTTTTATTTTAATATGCATTTAGAGTCAAGAAGTATGGAACTAAAACATGAAAAAAAGGCCAAAAATAGAAATGCTGAAAAGTAGAAAATAGTCCTTTCTCTCAATAAAGTAAGAGATGAAGTCAAATCTTTACCTACAAACAGGGTTGGAGAGAGATTAAAGAGAATGAAGGTATTTAAAAAGGGGTATTAAAATGTAACAGAACTAATGAATTTACTGGTTAAGGCAGACAGATCCCACATGGCCAAGCCTGGCCCCAACCCCAGTGGCTTATATAACATGCTGGACACATGCGTGTGTGTGTGTGCATGCCCCAAATCCACATACTATGGAGAAATGGAAAAGAAGGGATTGCAGTATGACCACACTCCACTGGGGGTTATTTTCTCCTTCTTCCTCTTTGGCTCTTTGACAATACACATGCTCTCTGGCTACTAGAACCAAAAAACAGACAATAAAAGACAGTTTTTAAAATGCAACAGGGGGGCCAACAGGTGCCATGGTGGTTAAGGTGCGCTAGACTCCCACATGACCGACCATGGTTCCAATCCTGGACCTGGTGGCTTGCTTTTCCACTTTCCCTTTCTCTCTCTGATCAAATTTAAAAATAATAATAATTAATAAAATTAAATAAATATGTTTTTAAAAATTCAACAGAACTTTAAGAAGAAATATCTGTCAATGATTCCATTTTATAGAGAAAAAAATAAACAAATTTTCTAAGCATTTTAGACACAAATTTATCCCACGATCTCTTCATATTAGGTATAAAATAAAGGAAAAGTATCTATTTGTTGATTGCAGTTGTGAATTTGAATATTTGAATAAGAGTGTAACCAAATAAACATCCTTTTCCACAATATGTCTTTGGATAATATCCAAACTTGAGAATACACAAATATTTCCATGTGGGTTTTGGTTTGGTTGACTGTTGGTGTTCATAAATGAGAGTGGGACTGTGTGATTTATTTCTCTTTCTAACATGGCTATAGAGAAGATAAATTAGTTATGTCTGTATTAGAAGTAATAGGAATGCTTCTTGCATAAATGAGTACTATTCCAATCTAAGAAAAAAATTATTCAACCTTGGAACTGGAATTTCCTTTTTATTTTGTTTAAGCCACAATAGTGGTTTGCAAATTATATATCTCCAATATCTTTTAAAGAGAAATTCTTATGTGTCTCCTAGGACCCAGAAGTTCTATGTATCAAGCTTTTAAATTTTGATTCAACTTCTGTTTCACTGCTCAAAACTCTGCCATGTGTTTAGTAATCTTGTGAGTCTGACAATCTCATAAAAAGAAGATTTGAACACAGCAGCTGTTTACTATTTCATGCTAATTGAACATGGTTTCCATCATTGTCATTTTTCTCTTTTGGCTTGCAATCACTTAGCACAAGAAAGAAAAATACACAGGTAGGGGATACAGAATATGTTATCTGTGTATTTCCAATCAATGAATCTCGTATAAACATATTTTGAAGTTAATATTTAAGAGCTGCATTATTTGATTCAATACAGGTTGATAGGCAGGTGCATTTAATTTTAAGCTAGTGAAGGATTTGGACTGAAAATAATCCTGGATCTAGAGGTACAAGGTGGGCATTTGTCCCTGGTTCCAGTACTAACTACAAAATGTAACTTTCGGCAAGTCCCTTACCTTCCTATTTCTGTTCATTTATTTCTTTTCTTTTCTTTTTTCTTTTCTTTTCTTTTTTCCTTCCTTCCTTCCTTCCTTCCTTTCTTTCTTTCTTTCTTTCTTTCTTTCTTTCTTTCTTTCTTTCTTTCTTTCTTTCTTTCTTTCTTTCTTTCTTTCTTTCTCTCTTTCTTTCTCTCTTTCTCTCTTTCTTTCTTTTTTTTCCAGGGAGATTTTTTGTGATAGGATGCATGTGCCAGAGGGACAGAAAGAGAGAGAGAGACAGAAAGCGAGAAATCACCCCCCCCCAGGAGGGATGGCCATGGTGAAATACCTTCTTCATTCTCCTCCTGGAATCTTGGGCATGCACGCACACATGACCAACATGATTTTCAAGCCATCAGGTCCAGGACTTGAACCGCAGTTCATCATGCGGGAGTCCAGCAATGAAACCACTCTACCATCTGCTGACCCCACTATTTCTGTTTCTTTATATGCAAAAATGGAAACGAAAATACCCTCTCTTACTAGATTGTGAATAAGATGAAAAGAATAGCATATGTAAAACATAAATGAATAAGAACTCTCTTCAATTCATCTATTTAGGAAATGTCTTATGTTTGTATATTGAGCTGCTTGAAAACAAAGCACAATAATATATGGAAGGCTTCAGAAGGAGATACTAAGATAGAGATGTAATCAGAGGTATGCATTAGTTAAACACCAAAACTCCCAAATGTTGAGTTACATACTTAAGCCCTATAATTATTACCTTCATAAATATTGCATTATACATTGTTATGTGTAAACAATCAACATAGGAATGAAGATTTAAAAGAGGACATATGAATATACTTCTGAAAAGAGCTAGCCCACTTAAGTCTTCCCTTTCTCTTGAGTTTATGTTGGTGCCATAAAGTTATAAGGAACATATGAGAGAAATTATACAAAAAAAAAGTGAGAATTTTCCGGCCGCACCATCACATATGTTGAGCCCCAGACACAATTATTCCTTTTGAATGTATTACAGATGCAGCGCTTAGCAAATGGGAGCAAGATGTTTGTTCAGATATCAATTTGCAGGCCAATGCAAGGCAAAGCTGGCCAAAGCCTCTAGCAGGCAGCCTTTCTAGTAGGTTGCCAACCCAGGTCATTTTTTTTTCCCTGAGAGTTTTGGCAGCTGTCTTCTATCTCTTTAGATTGCACTTATAATTAGTTATTTCCATGGAAACATGAGCTTTATACCATTTTCTTCTTTATTAGCTAGCTATAAACCGGACATGTGCCCTGAGCAAAATGAGATTGAGATTTTTAGGGTAACAATAGTTAGGATAACACCTACCATACCTTTGCTATTAAGATGTACAATTAAATGTAAATAAGAATCATTAAAAAAAAAACCTACTATACTTGTCTATGTCATGCTAATTCTGCAGCCAAGACTGTACACTCATAACTGATTAATCCATGTGTTGGCAGGCATCTACCCTGACTTCTTTCTGTGATGTTTTACTTAATAATGGGCTCTGGATTCAGATGTAGTTATTCATTTATTGCCCATTTTTATCATATTATCATTGTTTCAAAATGTAAGAACATACTTTGGCTCACATTCTGCATTAAAGAAGCTCCTGACACATTGCAGGTATCTGATTTTTAATCCCAAGAAATAATACAAATTGAAATAAGCTTTCCTTTTGAAAACGCTGGTAGTTTCAAGTGCAAAATTATGTAGTGAGACCCCTGTTTCACCTGCCTGTTCAGTGTTCCCGGTATGTCCAAGCAAACACATTTGATGAGGGGAGTGTGGGAGAAAAACAGAACGCTTCCATACTACAATTGCAATGGTCTTATCAACATGTAAGAAGACTGTGATTGTTTTTAATTATCAAAAAAGGATGTGCAGCAGACATTCCTGGCTCCTATTCCATTCCTATGCTTCACTGAAATCCTGAATTTGCTGAAACAAATGTGTCATCACTGGTTTTTGTGAAATCTATAGTTTTTTTTTCCTACCAAATAATGTGAATCAAGGATGTCTGGTACCTAAAACCCATTCCTGATTCTCATTCTGTACAATTCCTAAAGAATAGATGTTTGCAACAATGAAGAGCTAATAAATGCCCCAGGTGAGGTCACATGAAAAGCAGAGTTTGTGTTTGATGGGTGAGGGTGCACAGTGGGGAGAAATTCACAAAATAACACATTCTCTAATGGCTTCCCAAGGGATGTGGTGATGGAATATGTGTGAGTGTGTGTGCATGTGTGAGTACCGGGAAAGGTACTATTTTTCAATAAATTACTAAAAACAAAAACAAAACAAAACAAAAAAAAACCAATCCTCAACTCTAAATATGTTTGTGCTAGTCAAGTAATAACAATCGTTTAATTAGTACACATCAGTAATATTTCTTGTACATGTTTAAGGGTGACTTGCACACCCTTTTTGTTGTTCAGTTCATATATTTCCTATTCCTCCTTGGTAATTTTGTATTTATACTATGGCTAGCCATGGTATCGTTTTCATAGTTTCATAATTATTTAACAAATAGGTAAAAAAAAATTTAGGTTTTTATCCCTGTCTAACACTCTATGTTATACTCTGTCCTTAAACTCTTTTTATAGCCTTGACTCTTGACTATTTCTTTCCTCACCGTACTTCAGCCTTTTTTGGAGAAACAGAGAAACTGACAGAGAGACAGGAAGCCTTCGTGTTCCAGAGGTCAAAAGAAACCATTGAACCTTGGAGTCTTGGGTTATTTCAGGACCATGGACAACAGCCAAAGATGAACCTCTGTCTAAATTCAAAGGCGTGGATCAGAGATGGCAAGAAAAACCGATGCTTGCATTACTTGGTAATGATTCAGTGCTTACTATAAATCATTGCTTTTTTTCTTTTTTATTTCAAGGCTATCTCAAAATTACCCCTTCAATCAAGTTACCACTGTTTTATTAAAGTGTCCTGTCTTTAGAAAGACAATCAATGGCTGGCTAAACTTATCAGGACAAGATGGACATCTGGACTCTACACTGTGGTGGGGCTCGCCAAGCTCATGCAGAATTCACAAAGGTCACAACATATTCTGAAGTCCAGAGACATATCCACGTGGAACTGAGAAGCAGGAATTTACAGGGAAACAGAAAAGTCTGAAATGAAAACCATATCAGATCAATATAAATGGTATGCTCAACAGTGATCCCCTCAAAGATCTCTATGTTCTAATCTCTGGCAATGTGAACATGTCTATTTACATAGTAAATTAAATATGTAGATCAAGTTATGGATACTGACAAGAGTAAATTATCCTGGTGAGTTCAATGTAATCACAAGTGTCTCTACAAGAGGCAAGCAGGAGACCAAGTCATGGCAGGTGGTTAAGGCAGCTTGATTCCACATGGTCAACTACACAGTTCAAATTCTGAACTCTGTGGCTCAAGAAACATCCAGGGGACATAGGTGTGTGTGCTCCAAATCTCCAAAGAAGGGCAAGACGTAAGAGAAGGGACTGCAGAGTGACCATGCCCCATGTGGGCTGCTTTCTTGCTTTGCACCCTTCTATCTGCCTCTGGATCTTTCTCTGGCAAGCACATGTACCCTTCACAAATTAAAGGAAGAAAAGAAAAGGGAAGTAAGCAGAAGCATGATGGCCAGAATTCAGTAGTAAGAGATGGGATGACACAGCAAGTAAGTAAGAGGTCTTAGCCAAAGAATGTAGGTGACTTCTAGAAGCTGAAAAAGATGAAGGAAACAGATTCTTCCCCTAAAGCCGCTGGAACAATGGAGCCCTGCCAATACCTTGATTTAGACTTCTGAGCTCCAGATATATAAGAGCACAAACATATTTTTATGTTACTAAGTCTGGGATGATATGATGCAGTGATGATAACGCAAAATGATGATAAATGTTGGAGATGGTAGATATGTTTTTGCCCTAATTTCATCAGTACAGAATGTATATGTTTTTTAAATTTTCTTTCTTTTCTTTTCTTTTTTCATTTTTATTATCATCATAATCTTCGTTATGTTACATTGGATTACATGTAACTTTACAGTGTATTACATTGCTTTTTCAAAAGGGAATGGCATGCAGGTCAGTCAATACAGAGACATTAATCTCCCCACTTCATCATTTAATTTCTTTTCTATGATTTTCCCAATCATTATTATTATTATTCTAATTATTTTTTAAACAGTCAGTCACAATTTCTCATTTTGCTCGTAAAAAGACTTTACCCATCATTAAATACTTCTCAGACCAATCCAGTTGAGAATACTATACATGTTATCAACAGGTAATAAGCCATATCTGTTTCCCACTAGCGTCCTACCTCTCTATTTGTTCTCTTGCTATCTTTCTCTATCCTCTTCTCTTCACCCCCCCAATCCATACTGTCCTATTCTCGTTAAGTACTTTCACTGCTCTTATGTCCTCCAATTTTTCACTCTCTACTATAGAGTGCAGACAGTCGATATATTTTGAGTGGATACATACAATATCTTTCTTTCATAGCCTGGCTTACTTTACTCAGCAATAGATCCTCCATATCTGACCATTTTCTATCAAAGGCCAGGGTCTTGTTATTTTTTATGGCTGAGTAGTATTCCATAGAGTATATATACCACACTTTTCCAATCCATTCATCAGTTTGTGGACATTTAGGTTGGTTCCATGTCTTGGCAATTGTAAATAATGCTGCAATAAACATTGATGTGCAAGCACTTTTCTGACTGAGCATTTTCCTGTCTTTTGGGTAAATACCCAGAAGTGGGATTGCTGGATCAAATGGTAGTTCTATTTGTAGATCTTTGAGGAACCTCCATATTGTTCTCCACAGTGGTTGAACTAGTTTACATTCCCACCAACAGTGTAGGAGGGTTCCCTTTTCACCACATCCCCGCCAACACTTATCACTTTTTATAATCTTTGCCATTCTGACAGGGGTTAGGTGGTATCTCATTGTGGTTTTTACCTGCATCTCCCTTATGATCTACTCCAATGTCTCCCAGAGTTTCCCCAGCATTTTCCACAAGTAGTTTTATTGTCTGAGGTCTTAGGTTCAGATCTTTGATCCATTTTGAGTTGACTGTTGTTAATGGTGAAAGATGGGGGTTCAGTTTCATCTTTCTGCAGGTGGATACCCAGTTTTTCCAGCACCATTTACTAAAGAGGTTTTCCTTTTCCCAATGGATTAACTGATATCCTTTGTCAAAGATCAGTTGGCTGTAAACTTTGGGGGTTATTTCTGGGGTTTCTATTCTATTCCATTGGTCTACATGTCTGTTTTTATGCCAATACCATGATGTTTTGAGGGCCACAGCTTTATAGTATATCTTGGGATCAGGGAGTGATATGCTTGCCTCCTACTCCATTCTTCTTGTGCAGGATTGCTTTTGCAATACGATGTCTTTTATGATTCCAGACAAATTCTATGATTGTCTTTTCTAGATCTGTGAAGAATATTTCTGGTATTTTGATTGGAATTGCATTAAACATGTAGATTAATTTGGGTAGAATTGCCATTTTGATTATGTTAATTCTTCCAATCCAGGAGCATGGGATGTCCTTCCACTTTTTTATGTCACTTTCAATATCTTTTTAAAGATTTTCATAGTTTTCTTTAGCTAGTCCAGGGCTACGTACTATGCCTTTTCATCTTTTTTTACTCCATGTATCTTGTGGCTACGGTGAATGGGATTCCTTTCTTCAGCTCTACCTCGTTCAACTTTTTGTTCATAAATAATCAAAAAATTGATAAAAACTAGCTTTTTCCTCAACTAATTCTAATCATTTATTGTGTCTGTCCAGGCAGTTATGTATAATCTGTGCCAATATAATTTTTCTAATTCTTGCAAATACATTATAAACATGGTATTATTATTCTCATTTTAATAGACTTAGAGATCTAAGTAGCTGGCCTGAGTTTACATATATGTTTGAGTGAGTCAGAGGACAAGGCGGGGTGTGTGTGGGGGTCTCATTTAAAAATATTTGACTCCATGGGGCCAGCAGGTGGTATGGTGGTTAAGGATGCTCGACTCCTGGGGCCAGTAGCTGGTGTAATGGCTATACCACTGGACTCCCATGTAGTCGACTGTGGTTCAAGTCTGGACCTGATGCCTTAAACTCATGCCAGGTGCATGTGCGTCGTGCCCAAGATCCCGAGAGGAGAATGGAAGAGAAGGGATTGCAGCGTGGAATAATTTCTAGCTTTCTGTCTCTGTCTCTCTGTCTTCCTGGTAACTGTACATACCCTATAGCAAAAACCTCTCAAACAAAGAAAAAAATGATGCTGAACTCCCACATGGCAACTGTGGTTTGAGTCCTAGACATGGTGGCTTGCTTTCTCACTTCCCCTTTCTCTCTGTCTCTTCCTGGTCAAAATAAAATAATAATAATATAATGACAAACAAAATCAAATAAATAAATCTTAAAAAAGAAATCTGACTCCAAAGTCATGCCTTTTCAATCATGTCTCTCAATGATGACAGTTTAGTGTAACTATTTGTTTTCTATGCCATGGAAGGATAGGGTTTTTGTCTGTTCCCTCTGCCAAGGGAGCAAGACTGTCATTGAAGTTGGACAATGATTCAGAAACCTTATAAGCCACTAGTTCCTTTCTTGAAGATACATCAAGTGTGACACAGTTCAGCCTCCAGAAATATGAGGGTGGTATGAGCTATTAACTAGTGTATATAACGTCTTCCTTTTGTTTAACTATTCAGTACCAGGAAGTTGGCAGAAGAAGAAGTAGAATCATCTAGAAAAATAAGAATACAGAGTATGTGCGCTCATATTATTCCTGCAATTTTTGAAAATAACATATGAATCAAGACTTTAAATTTATAGTTAATCTCCTTTTTAAAATTAATCTTTTTAGGTTCTATTAGTCTAGATAACTTTGAGATCAGTGAGAGCTGGATTGGGAGACAACACAGATGTTTTTGAGCAATACTATCACAGATTCTTCTCCAATATTGATGTGTGTTGTAGAACAGTCAGGCTATTAGAAGCAGAGCTGCACTGGGATCTAGGTCTCCTAACTCTCAGCTAGAGCTTCCATGTATAGCATCTTGATATCTGTCCTTCTCCCAAACTGCATTATAAACCCCAGTGTAGATAGAAATGATCAAACTAAGATTTCCCTTATGCATCCTTATCGCATGCCACGAATTCACCAAATATATACTGGATAAAGTCACATCACACATAAAGGTGTGCCAAAAAATATTTTTCTAATTAAAAATAAATTGAAACTAGAGTCTAACTAAAATATTCAGAACTGTGTTATTCTGTTGAGTTATTTGATATCCATGTAAGAGTAGGCAAAGCTACATTTATCAGAGAAATGAAGTGTAAGAGTGTCAGTAAAATGTATAGTTTAAGAAAAATCTCACAGTGATTGAAAGAGAAAACCAATGTCATGCTTTCAAGCAGACTGGCAGGATGTGAGGAGCTGATTTCCTTCCGCAGGCCTACTGATGACCGACCATGTAACCTTAAGTTCATCATTCAGCTCTTGTTGCAGAGAAAGATTAATTATAAATAATGGGGAAGAAAGCTCGTTCTAGCTGTTCCACAGGAGTATGGGATAACAAACTGTATTAGAGTTGTGGAAATTCTTTTAAAAGCCTCACTGGCTGAACAATACAGAAACAAGACTGGAGTCTTGTCTTGATCCGACCCCAACTCCTTGGTAATTCCCGGCAAGTGTCTTAACCTATCACTGTACCTGCGACATGGTGGGTACAAAGAACCACGTGAAGGCAACATGATGGGATGGGTGAGGAAGGGGTTTAGAGCCAGACATGCTTAGATTCTAATCATAAATTCACTCATTCCTGCATGACTCTGGGGAAATTAACTTAAGCTCCTTAATACTCAGTTTCCCCATCTGTGTAATGAGACAATGATAATAATGCCTCTAAGAATGTAAAGCTATCATTTATATAAAACTTTTGGGTAAATTGGAAATGTTTTCAGTTTCAAGTAACAGAAAACACAGCACGGGCTTGAGCTAGAAAGAGTTTATTTTACTCCCATGTCAGAAAGTCTGGAGGTGCGTAGCTACCAACTGACTTATCACCTTGGGGTATCCCCTCTGCAGCCTTCTTGGAAACTGCCTCATGTTGGCTCCCAGAATTCCACACATCATGGCTATATTCAAGGTAGGTAAAATTGGGGGAGAAGGAAAGCACCAGATGTTTTTGCTCCTTTTACAAGTAAAGCAAGGTTTCCTAGGGGCACATATTGCAACCTCCTGCTTTACCGTATTGACCAGAACTGGCCCATGTGGCCTGCGTCAGCAGCCAGGGAGATTGGGAGATCAGACACTGGGATGATCACAATCCAGCACCCAGCCTGAGCACACTAGGTAATAAAATGGGGCTTGGATGGTTAGAAAAAATCAGCAAATGGATACCGGGAGGCAACCGACAGAGCTGGCTACAACCCAGCACCTAGTCTTTAATCATTAAATATTGTGCTTTCATTTTTCCTCCATCAATAAACCGAGTAACTCCATCTGAGTCTAATAGTCTATGATCCCACATGGATCATTAAATTACAATAAGAAATGAATGCTGTAGCAAATTTTTTTCTAAGTGGATCTACCAGAAGATGAACATAACAGAAAAAGCTGATTCATGGGATATTTTTCTCTCTTTACTTGGAGATAATTTCAGATAGCCACAAAACAATGTTGGAAAAGTGGCACCAAGGGATCTCCTGAACACTTCATCCCACTTTGCTAAATGTTAAAATAGTTTATGGTAGTAATTGTTCAAACCCAGAAAAATCACATTGATAAATAATCGTTCATGAATTTACACATCTGTAAATGTCAACTTGCTCACTAATGTATTTTTTCTTGTCCACGATCCCATCCAGGATTCCATTGCACTTACTAGTTTTATCTCCTAGTCTCCTCCAATCTGGGTAAAGAA